TTAATTTGTCTCAGTTGTTTTTTTGACAAGCTTAACATGTAAACTTTGTCTCGAAAACTTTTGTTGTTCGTCATCTGATCTCCGTATGTTTCTCACACATGAAAACAGATGAAAACTGGTAAAATAGAATCTCAAAATGTAGTGAGCTTAAGTTTTCAAGCTTATCGAAAAGTAGTTAAAGCTTACTATATATGAAAGGAATAAAAATATTTTAATGATATAAAGGACACAACAGAAGCCAGGGAAACCAAAAACCTTTCCTAGCCGTTTTCTACTTATTGAACAGTAATTTGTTTTAAAAACATTTCTAGACAGTTCTAAAACGGAAAAGGAATGAAAAGGTGATATATTAAGAATTAAGGTCGGGAAGGGATATTTGATTGAGCGATTGAGCTGAATACGTTGCATTCCATCATTTGTATCAATTCGACAAAAAAATATATTGAAAAGCATTAACAGATCATTTGGATAGAGCAAATAAGACAATTCTTACCTTGTTGTTTGATTTGGAAGAAAATTAAAAACAGCAGAAGGTAAAATTGTGGAAATACGAAGGGCATTGTTAAGACGAAAGGGTTTACTGAGAGATTGGGAACTCCCGCGCAGGCGCAAGACCCAAATTTGGTAACAATGGATGCTAAAGTGGTTGTCACTACTTTAAGGTAACCAAATGGAAGCTATATTTTTACCACGAGTCGAGAAATAATGTGAAATTGAAGAAACACCACACACACCAGCTTTTTTCAACGTATTAATTTATAGACATAGCTTATTGTGTCATCCCCTATCTGTAAACAGTGTAGTGTTTTCTATTGAAATGGAAATTTTATTCTTATTCTTAACGATAAGGCAAGCGAATGTCAGGGTTGTAGAGTATGACGGCTTTGTATATACAGGCATGCGCCATAAAAAATGCATATACTAATCAAATTGCAATCTAAAAGTCTTATAAATTCGGATCGTTTTCTAAGTTAAGGTTGTTATTCAAGGCTTTGGTACAAGTTTCTTTTTTAATATATACACAAGCAAAGTCTTTGTTTATAGCATCAACTACGGAACACGTTTGACCCAATAACCTTCCACGAGAACTCTTTATCTTGTGAGTATATTGGAACGACAGAGCGGAAAAACCGGACGCATGCGCATTAGAGACTATTTTCATGAGCAATCCAATATGGCGGACGAGAAGCGGTAAAAATCTGTCTCTTGGAAAATTGCTCTGAAAACGGACAAAAACGCAGCAATGACACTCAAAACTTTAGAAAACAACTCATAAT